TTTTGGAGTACTTTATATAATCATAACACATTTTAATGTACTAGAAATGATCTCTTAAGGAGATCCATCAAAATGTGTCACTTTCTCAAATTTGTCATTGTTAATTATTGTTCTTTTCCTCTTCCAAGGATTCTTATCATTGTACCCTTTGGATTACCACACTTTAGGTGTGCTAGTTTCAATAGCAACTGATCATGTCCTTCTAGGACATCAACTTATATGTACATTTATAACTAGTATATAGGTAATGACATTTATTCATTACCATCTTCAGGATGGTATTATTCTAAATATTTGATTATCATGTGACCACCTCTATTAAGAAATAAATCATTGATATTTAGTCTAGTGTATGTACCAAACTGACTATCACCATATTCAATTATTCATGATTACATAAAAACAATAGAATAAACACTATCTCCCCCTAATCCTTGCATATGGGGGTATAAAAATAGTCCAACAATCTTTAAATCCCTTGCTTTTTTAAGCCATAAATTCTTTTAGCAATGCATGTATCAAAGAAAAGAAAGTTATTCATTTCCTCTTGCCCAATTATATAAATCTTTATATTGAAAATTTTCAAAAGTATGGGCATTATGAATACAGTGTTCAACTAATTAATTAATCTTTTCACGATGTCATGCTTAGATTTCAAATGTATATTATGTACTCATGTTTGTGATTATTATGAACTTTACATGAATGATAATCACCATGAAAACATATACCTTTTAATCATAAGAATTCTCTGGAATGAGTAAATTCAATTATTTATCAACATATATATATATATATATATATATATATATATATATATCGAGTTCAATATCTTAAATGTGCACCCAATAGACAATATTAGACCTAATCAAAATATTTTGTATACTCTTCTCTTAACATGGTGTTTATAAAATCACTTTAGTCCTATGACTGGTGGACATATTTAGGTCACATATACGGTATATCTGACCCTTCAATTCATTAATTTAAGGAACTTTTAGTCATTACGTATGAATACTTCACGTTCAATTTATTCATCATTCGTATAATTCAACTTCATGTATATTAGGTATATAATCAAATTCAATCACACATCAAACAATACTTATACCATCGTGTTAGTATGTTTCACAATATAGTACCCACTAATAAGGTTACTAAGTTAATGTCAATTTAATGCATATACATGAGATATTTTTAAGTATAGATTAAAAGAACAAAATTTGAAACTTCAAGTCCAAAATTGCAAAAGGAGTATGCAGTTATAAAGTCACCATCTGACTAGTCATTGATTTTATAGAGTAGTATAAGGAGCTTGCAACTAATCATTGATTTTATAGTTTAAAATACAATTGTCCAGACATGTATCTGACTAGTATCAAATCATCAAGTATCAAGCGATTCCCCGACAAAACACATAAAGATAAATTAAAATTATAGATGAATACATAATAAATATAGACATTTGGTTAATATTAAGGGTGCAAAATAGACTTGATATACGAATAAAATTGGTCTCTTGGTTAATAGAGCTACGAATTGATAAAGTCAATCTTATCTTTAATTAGTTTGTTAGAACTTGTAACATATTAATCAAAAGAAAATCTCCATATACTTAGATTTCTTGATAAATAAAATATCTTAGAATATAATTAAGATTAAATAAAATATGAGGCAATGACCAAATATAAATACTCCATATGCAATCAAAAGAATATAATCAAACATCACATAGTAATTTTTATACCATAATTTATTATAATAAGGTAGCAATAATAATCATAATTCATTCCTTAAATAAACAAGATCAAAAAGCATAAATTTAAATCATTCGTAATATTTAGTGTTTGTGTCACAGTGCAATATAGTACCATTACTTATTCATATAAGGCAATCATGAAAACATATAACCAAAGTAATCATTTACTATATGTCTATATATATATATATATATATATATATATGTATCAATGGCACTCCATGCAAATGGACTTTTTCGCACAAGTTAATTATAAGTGATTACAGCACATATATAATACTTGTAAATAGATGTAACATACTACATTAAATAATTAATGCCTTTTGCAGTTTTGCTATCCTTTAGCCCATTAAAAAACTTCTTAATTTTAGTAAAACCAAAACTTTGCTAAGGAACGCACGGAACTTGATTATTATTATTGCTCACATAATATAATTATACAAACAATGTCAGAGTTCAAATAAAATTACAAGGCTATCCTAAAATAAGATCCAATAATGAAATACAGAGTACATTTTTTGCCTAATTATTTCAGAATATATCGGATCTGATCCTAACAACTTTCGAATTAAAAGCTTATTGTTTTGCAAAGAAATTAATAATGGAAGTTCAATGTCATGTTATTAAAGAATCAAAATTAAATTGCAAATCAACGTAAAGAAGAAAACTTTTGATGACTAACAAACAATTTATCAACTTATATTAGGGTACCTTAGTGCAAACCAAAAGATCAATATTTAAAAGTAACTTTTTTTTTTATTGACCTTTTTGAATCGGCAAGTCTTGATTTTAATGAGTTGGGTATAGCTTTGGTGCTGATAACGTGTTATGAAATTAAAGAGATAAAGGGAAAAATAGAGGAGAAAATAGATCTATATTCATCTTACTGAATGATGTAGGAGTACATATATATACATGTGATACAATTAGGGTTTCATTGTAGAATGATAATAAAACTAGTAAATCTAGAATATCCTAGAATTATCATAAGGGTAAAATGGGCATCAGCTTAAATACATACTTCCTCCGTTCTGTTAATATTGCAACAAGGAGGAAATTACGCATCCCAAAATACATTTTATATGCTAAATATCTATAATTGTGTAAGAGTAAAAATTATAAAAAGTTGATATTGTGAAAGTATTACTCCGTATATGAGACGAATTCAACAAGATCCCACTTAACTATATTTTGCTTAACGTAGAACTCATATTATATGGTCAAACATGAGTCATGAATAGTGCAAAAAGTCCATTGTTGCAATATTAATAGAACGGAGGAAGTATATTATATAACACATTTTACATAATTATATATTGATTTTATGAACAACACGAAATTGACAAGAGACCATACACGAACACGGCACGACTTTTTGTCAGCTCCAGTAGTGTTTATAGTCTGATACAAACATTACGAATATGTTACGAGCATTATGATCTAGAGGTAGTATATCCTTGACTTCATACAACATAGAAATAACTTAGAACTAGTTTTGAGCCTAGACGATGCCCTGGATAATAATTTTAGATTGAAACAAAATTTTAATAACAAAATTAGGTGACATATAATCATAAATTAGTTAATTTTTTAAAAAAAGATTACTGTTTTTTAGAAGTACATGTACTATTTATTTATTATTATTTTTTTTTTTCAAAAATTATTGAACATCAAAATTTACTACTATATCTAATACTACGTATTAAGTATCCTAAGTTGTTCAATTATTTTGATTTCTAAGCCTTTCCCTAAAATTGACATATTTTTTTGGGAAAAAAAATATTAACATAAAAAGTACAATACATATTTAGATTACATATTTTAAGTAGTTGTAGACTTGTAGCCTGTAGGGTTGTATGTCTGAGCATATGTAAAAGATGAGATTAGTTTTGACAAGATTCTCTTTAAAAATTTAGGACTCCAACTTTAATTCAAAATGAAAAAAAATAAAAAAATAATAACTTGTTTGACATCATTTTTGGTTTTTAGTTTCCTGTTTTTTTTTAAAAAAAAAACTAAAAACCAAAAACTGGAAACAAGAAAAAGGTGTTTCCACTTTTTTGTTGTCAGTTTTCAAAATTATTATGATTTTAATCATTTTAAATAATTTTTTATTCATTATGTGACATATATCATATATTTTTATACAACAAAAAACCAAAAAACTGAAAAACACAGCAATGCCAAACGAACCCTAAATTAGTGTGGGTAAAGGCTCAAACCTAGGACTAGTTGTTTCATTCAAAAACTTTTTACCACCAGATCAAAGGGAAAGGCAATTCCCTCATTGAATTAATTTACATAATTCGTATATACAAAGTATATACATTGTAGAAGTTTGAAAGTTATGAACATGATTAACTATTGAACTGGTGGCAAAAGTTGAATCATAATGAAGTAATGAATATGAATCATAAAAGACATGTGAGTGACGTGACAGAATTACATGAATTCCAATTAGTGGGTAAACACTTGAGGAAAAAAGACAAATTATATAACTAATATATAAAGCTAAACTTTTAGCCAGGTTACTACGTTGCGACACTTGGCATTCTAACTTTTAGCCAAGTGTCGCGACACGTTAGATAGATTTAAAAAAACTTATAAGATTAAAAAAAAAAAAAAAAGTTAATTTAGAACTCTATTTGGATAAAATTATAAGTCTAAATTTTTTTTTTTTTGGATAAAATACCAATATTTCAGAGATACAAATTGAATTATAATTTTATTCAAAAAAAAATTATTAGATTATAATTCTAAAAAATTATCATATAAATTTATTTTTTATGTCATAATATTTTTTTGGAGTGAAATAATTAGTTTAAAGCGTAAGAAAATATTTATAATATATAATAATCTGTTAAAATAATATACTTCACAACCAATAGAATTTTATTACTACATAAACCTGTCAATTAGGGTCGGGTCATGAGTCATCTCGAATTGGGTCACTTTAAGTTACGAGTCAAGAATGTTCAACCCTTGTCCAAAGATTTGGGTTGGGGTCAACCTAACGGGCTTTGAACATTTATCTTATTTAAATTTATTATTCGCTTTATTTTAATGTATTAAATCGAACATTTCCACCAACATTATTATTAGTCATTACACGCCTACTAGATAGTAAATCATCACAAAAGCACATCAATAAACTAATTTTGTATCAATGGTATATTTTAAAATTTGACATATAGATTAAAAACTTATCTTTAAATTCAATAAACAACTCGGGCATCGCACGGGCACAAAACTAGTAAGTATAATATACTCCAACTCTTTCACCACAACAAAAGTATATGGAATACAAGTATAAGAGGGTGATTTTCAATGAAACAGGAATCTCAACAAGCTCATTAAGCATCAAACACCCTACATGAACACATTTGTTTGATGTGATAATTTGTATCAAAACTTCTAAACCACCCATCTTCAAGGATTGACTACAGGCTTTCTCACCTTTGTTTGGTAACCGCCAATCTCCTATTAAACAAGATTAGAACTTCTTGAATTAAATGTGGCAAGCTCCAATACCCAACAAATCAATATTTAAAATAGGGGGTGTAACATAACAACTAGCTAGCTTGAAAATTAAGAAAGAATTGCAGTTTTTGAACCAGAACTTCAGCAGATCCATAAATAGGCTTGCTATTGTTCAGCCAGTCTTTCTCTAAAACCCCCATTTTAGTACTGACGCGCATCTCTTCCAGGAATTCAGATACTATTGAATAAATAGAAATTTTTAACACATCTGCTAATGCATACAACTTTGAGTGTGAAGGGCTACCCCTTTTCTTGTTCATGGCAGTAGCAATTTCTCTTCTAGTAGTGCTGTTCGTAGCCCATTTAATGCCAGCAGGACCCAACATATGAGTTGGGGATTGCAAGTTAATTTTCTTTCCCATTGATGTTTCGACAGCAATCAGACAGGATAACAGCATTGATAACACCACTGCATGGCTCCCAGATAATTGAGCAACTCCAAACCTGTCTTCCTTGTGAGAGTGTACTTCTAAAGATGCAACAGTTTGGGCACACCAAGCATACATCTGTAGAAACAGGATCAGAGCCAAAGATTAGGATTATGAGGGTTTCCTTAAATATGCCACAAAAAGGAAGAAAAAGTAGATTCTGAAGAAATGCCGAAGACAAGAAGCCAACTCAGCCTGTTACACAAGGAAACCACTCTAACCAAGAATACACCATATAAAATCTTACCAGCCTAAGGTTTCGAAACTAATTCTGCCAAAGATGTTACACCATATAATAGCTTCCTACAGTAGGAGATATAGCCACGAGGAGAAATAAAGCGATAAAATAGTGACCAAAAATAGAAGAAAAACAGAACATGAAAAACTTAAAAATTTCACCTTGCTAGGCCACTGAAAATTTAAACAGTAGCTTTTAAGGGCAACTGAAGTAATATCAGATACCTGACCACACAAAAAGAACTTGAAGCCATCCGAGTATCTAGCCCACAAAAAAGTGAATTAAATGAAAGTCAAGCTCATTGATTGACCTGCTTAGTTTTTAAAATCAATGATTCATCTGATCTTACAGATTAAATTGACAAGAAAATCAATCCAAAATTTACCACAAATCATTAAGGCATTTTCCTATGTGTTTCAGTTCAAAAAATACTTTGTTTAACAGGTTACTCATTACAGAACAACTCTGATTTTTCATTGTTTTAGCTAACTGCCTAATTAATTTGATTAGCTTACACAGTGTTAACTGATTCACTAATTCACTCCTGCTAACTATGGCCCGAAACATATAAATTGATAACTTTTGGACTAACAAAATTAGATTTTGCACGTTGTTGAATGCATGTTTTGTATCCCAAAGCATATTGTAAATAAAAAACACTGAGCACATTGTGGCTAGAGTCGGTGGCAATCCTTCAGATCTTATATAATATTCCATATGATGATACATCCTTTTTTCACCAATATACATTTAATTTCTGTTACCATTCCCATTTGCAACGAAGAAAATGTTCAGGGGCCATCAAAATGAAATTCTATGGGAAACCTTTGTCTTTTCACTTTGAATAAAAAGCCTAAATCAAAATACCAAATAGGCCTCTTTAACTTTGTTTCTCATTGCTCTTCTCTGATCCACATATAGAAAATTGATGAGCTCTGAAAATAATAATCTAGACAGATCTTTAGGATCTTCAGGTGAGAAGATTTTTGTTTCATAACTTACAGCAAGAGTGTGCTAGGAGCTGGAATCAAAACAGAGAAAATTCTAAGTACAGTAGAGAGAAAATACATCATATCTTCAACTGATGATATGATGTATTGCTAATCAGTTTAATCAACAATACAACTCTCCTTCTTTCGAGAGGAAGGAATCTCTCCCAATACTTCTCACTACAATTTTCTGGATGATTCTCTCTTCCTACAAACTCTCCTCTATTTATAATCAGTTGCTAACAAACTCTTACAGCTAAGAAGGAATAACAAACTAATTCCAAAATAACTACATTACCACAAAACCCACTAACAACCTCATTACAGACTTCCACCTTATCACTCAAGTTGCTGGAAAATTCTTTTCGGCCTTCCTACGAGCATAAGTGATTATGGGCCGGGCTGATTCCTTGTAGAGTGATTACGATATTGTCCAATACTCACGTTCTACACCAAGTTATTTGAATTGGTTAAGAATGGACATCAATCTGCCTCTATATTCTTTAACACTTTTGGTTTTTTCATAGTCATACCCAAAATCACAAACTCCCTATTGACACAAAATGTGTTTCCCTCAACCTACTCCTTAATTTTCTCCCATGCTCCTCTATTGAGCGTGATCTTGACCCTACCCCTCTTCCATAAAATCCATCAGCAATCCAAATCGAAAAGCATAATGAGGAAATGTCAACAAAGCCCCGGAAACTCCATGTCATCATTCGGTGAATGAGAAGAAAGCAACTGATTATAAAGGCTTGTAAAACACCCAACAAAGCATGGGAAAGCATTAGGAGGGACCTAGAACGAACCCTCAAATCAGATTGAATCTCATAAGGGAGTTTAAGACATTAGGTATGATGAAAACCAGAGTTGAAATATGGAGAATGATTATATCTATTGTCAATTAAATACATCAATTGCTAAGAGAATTTTCTAACCAGAAATTGGTGGATGACATAAAGTAACTATTATGAAAGCACAAGACACATACACTTCATCACTATATAGATACTATAAACCTATTAAATTAAAATTTTCACAATAAATAATTCTCTATGAATTACGGATCAAAGGAGAGTAATGAGGATGAATGATGGTGAAAATAAAGTTTGATTTGTAAGTAACTTTGCGGACATAATTTATAATTCAAAGCAGATAGTGTAGCATTCATAAGAAGATTAGTCATGAAGAGGAATGTTGCCACAAAGGAAAACCCTAATGCTTCAAATGTAAAAAATGGGGCATTTGGCGAATAATTGTAGATTAAAAAAATGATTACACAAACATGGTAAAAGTGACCATGAAAGAATACAAGTGTATAATTTGTGAGTGAGCAATAGGAGGAATGACAATCGGTCACACAGGAGCCACCAATACCTTTACATGCAAGCAACACGTTACAATGATATGGTGCCGGTAATTGCATGCATCAATAAGTATGAAATTCAAGAGATTTGCATCATGAGTGAAGAGTTCACATCTATTAACTTGAAAATGTTAGATAATGCTACCAAATTTGTGAGGTTATATATCATGCATAAAAAGTGAATAGTTTATTAGCAAAATAATAATATTAAAATTTAGTTCACATATGCAATCATGACTGTAGTAACGGTTGCATTGTCATGGAACAACTTGTAACGGAGAATCAAATGGATAGCATCTAAAGTGGAGTAAGATTTTAAAAAAAAATCAAATTAATGGATTAAGCCTTATTTAAATTAATGTTCATGTTAGTTCCTTCAGCATAAAGAAATTAAATATATCATAATATGGGTGGATAACATATTTGGTGAACAAACAATTACTTAAGATGGTATGAAATGGATAAAAACTATTTTAACACCACAAGCCACCATAGCATAATGGACAATGTTAACCCTAATGTGTTTTGATTCTGACTAAGCAACCTTAAGGATTAAAGATCTTTACTATTGTTTAGGTATCACCGGGTTTTGGAAACGGAAGAAGCACTAGGTCTAGAATAGGAACAAACACAGAAGGAAGCAAGATAAATCAACAAGGACATATTCCTTTATAGGAGCTGCAAGCTAAAGATGCAAAAGAAAGGATGCTAAATAAGATTAACTTTCTAGGATAAATAGTAAAACACTTTATTGGTAGAGATTTGTGTCGAAAGATGAAATTTTTAAAAAAACATGCCACAAAAAGATTTGCTTAAAAGTAGGATTTTAGTTATGTTTTTATTGAAAATGGATTTGGCGTTTATTTGGATAAATTAACAGCTAAAAAGTCTATTTAATTTATGATATTGAAAAATTAGTTTTGAAAATCCCACTCTTGTGACAAAGTGTTATTTATTGTGGAAGTTATAAATTACACATTTTTCATTATTTAAGGTTTGATGAGAAAAAAAAATATAATAATAATAGTAATAATAATAAAAAAAAATTTAAAAAAAAAAAAAAAAAAGGATGCTTGAGAAAATCCCCACTCTTGTGAGTTGTGACAAAGTGTTATTTATTGTGAAAGTTATAAATTACACATTTTCCATTATTTAAGATTTGTTGAGAAAAATGAGGATGCTTGGGATCTTGAGAAGTCTACTGCCCGTCATGTGCTTGTTATGCTTGAGCCTAAAGATAAGAAACATAGGGGTTAGTGAGGAACATGGACTGTTAGTGGGTATCCTAAACTTCTACAAATAGGGTCAGGTTATTTCCAAACAAACCACCTGACATAAAAACAACCTTAGTGAATGATAGAAAGTGAATTCCACTTGAATCTTAATAATTCTTGTGTTTTTCATACAACTATTCTTCTTGAGTTGTAATCATAGGGAAATGGAATGTATTGAGCTCAGCAATAGATTAAAAAGTTGTTGGGTACTCAAGTTCGTTCATTAAAAATTATAGATTTGGCTTATAATCGGTTGTTACACTATTATAGTGAAGAGTATTGATTTAAAATCCAGAGTGGGTTAGAGGATTTAATTCTTGGTCGGGACTTGAAAAGTTACCTCATAAAATCCCTATTGCACACTAAAGTTCCTTATAACTTTAAGTAAAAAGAAATCTATAAAGTTTAGTGTAATAGGAGCTTAGTTGGCTAATGCTGAACGAGCAAGTTAGGAAGTTGTTACAAGTTTGTTAGGTTGTTAGTGTGCAACGGACTAGCGTAATGTAACAATTATAAAGCCGAAAGGTTGATGTTTGATTACTAAGCTCAAAGCTTTCAAAAGATAAACATGGCTTTAGGCCATTACTCTCCAAGTGTTTGCATACAATTTTCTGAATGAATCCTTCTTACTAGGCTACTACTTCTTATACTACAATTACATTACTAGAATTGGCAACATAGCCTTAATTACTACAATTGCTACTCTTGTCCTCGTACTATTTTAGTGCAATGCAAACAAAAACTAAAAGCTGCTTGTCTCCCCTGTTGCCCCCTCAACGGTCCTCTGTCTTTGTCTTTCTTTTGTGCTGTTGCTAAGGCTTGCTGTTGTTGAGGGAAGGTGGCTGTCTCTTCTGTCTCCTGCTGTACACCAAGTTCACGGGTGGAGGGTGTTGGTGTATTGCAATACCGCCCCCCAAAAGAGCCACCTTGTCCTCAAGGTGGAAGTCCGGAAATTGCTCTTTGATTGCCTCGGCCGCTTCCCAAGTAGCCTCGAACTCGGGCATTCCCATCCACTTGATGAGCACTTCATTGCTGCAACTACGGTCTCCCTTGCATCTAACATCCAGAACTCGCTCTGGTTCAGCTACCATTTCTAGCTCCGGAGTTAATTGGAGCGGGATAGTGGTATGGTTAGGAACATCTCCTATGGCGCGTTTCAATTGAGAAATGTGGAAGACCGGGTGAATGCGACATTGCTCGGGTAGGAGTTG